ATGGTCAGGGCCAGGGGGCACTCTGGCTCTACTTCTTTGTAATCCTCCTGGCTCTACCCACCTCCCTGAATTGGCCCTGCCCACAGGCTGCCAGGTGACGGCAGCACGTAAAATGTCAGTGACCAGACGTGGAGCTCTCAAGAGTGGAGAGATCATTCCCAGAAGGCATCTAGCTGACTTCTCCTGTGTCTCATTGGCCAGAACTGTGTCACGTGCTCATGTCTAAACCAATCACTGACAAAGGAAACAGGAGCACCATGATTTTTATTTATTTACTTATTTTTATTTTTTTATTTCAATAGTTTTGGGGAATAGGTAGTGTTTGGTTACATGGATAACCTTTAGTGCTGATTTCTGAGATTTTAGTGCACTCAACACTTGAGCAGTGTACACTGTACCCAGTGTGTAGTCTTTTATCCCTACCCCACCATGCTTCCCCCAGAGTCCCCAAAGTCCACTGTGTCATTCATTTTTTTTGAGATGGAGTTTCGCACTTGTTGCCCAGGCTGGAGTGCAATGGCGCGATCTCGGCTCACCGCAACCTCTGCCTCTGGGTTCAAGCGATTCTCCTGCCTCAGCCTCCCAAGTAGCTGGGATTACAGACATGCGCCACCAGACCCAACTAATTTTGTATTTTTAGTAGAAACGGCATTTCTCCACGTTGGTCAGGTTGGTCTCCAACTCCTGACCTCAGGTGATCCACGCACCTTGGCCTCCCAAAGTGCTGGTGTTACATGAGTCACCGCATCCAGTCCATTGCATCATTCTTATACCTTTGTGTCCTTATAGTTTAGCTCCCACTTACAAGTGAGAACATAGAATGTTTAGTTTCCTGGCTGGGCAAGGTGACTTATGCCTGTAATCCCAACACTTTGGGAGGCCAAGGCCGGTGTATCATAAGGTCAAGAGATCGAGACCAGCCTGGCCAACATGGTAAAACCCCGTTTCTACTAAAAATGCAAAAATTAGCTGGGCATGGTGGTGAATGCCTATAGTCTCAGCTACCTACGAGGCTGAGGCAGGAGAATCACTTGAACCCAGGAGGTGGAGGCGGAGTTGCAGTGAGCCGAGATGGTGCCACTGCACCCCAGCCTCGGTGACAGAGCTAGACTCCATCTCAAAAATAAAAAGGACGTCTAGTTTCCTCTTCCTGAGTTACTTCACTTAGAATAATGGTCTCCAACTCCATCCAGAAATGCATATGCCATTATTTCATTCCTTTTTATGGCTGAGTAATATTCCATGGTATATATATCATATTTTCCTTATCCACTCATTGGTTGATGGGCACTGGGGCTGGTTCCTTATTTTTGCAATTGTGAATTGCAGGAGCACTATGATTGACTTAGTCCAATCGGGACCTACCTAGATGGGAGGAGGAACGAGGTCCTCCAAGGCATCAGCCAATGAGTAGAGGTGGATACCTGGGCAAAGTCAGTTTCATTAGGAAGAGGAGGAGGTAAATGGATATTGAGATGACAACTGTATTAGTCAGCGTTCTCCAGAGAAACAGAATCAACAAGATGTACAAATGTATACATATATACATACATATACAAAGATGTACACTTATATATATGTATGTACATACATATATATAAGGAGATTTAAGAAATTGGCTTATACAATTACGCAAGCTGAGAAGTCCCAAGATTTGCGATCAGCAAGCTGAAGGCCCAGGAGGGCTGATGGTGCAGTTTTAGTCTGAATCCGAAGGCCCGAGGCCCAAAAAGAGCTGAGGTTTCAATTTGAGTCAGAAGGTGGGAAAAGATGTCCCAGGTCAAGCAGTCAGGCAGGAGGCATTTCCTCTTGCTCCGCCTTTTTGTTCTATTCAGGTCTTCAATTGATCGAATGAGGTTCACCCCCGTCAGAGGCGGCAATCTGCTTTACTCGGCTGATGGATTCAAACATTCATCTTATCTACAAACACCCTCACAATCACACCCAGAATAACCTTTGAGCAAATGTCTGAGCACCCCCTGGTCCCAGCAAGTTGACAGATAAAATTAACCATCTCAGCAACAAGGAGTATCTGTTGCACAGGGAACGAGACACATTAAACAGGATTTCTCTGTATAGTAAGAGGGTCAAGAGCGCCTCGGCCTGAATCTAGTCTCTCTTACTTTCTAGCTGCATGTCTTAGTTAAGCTGTTTAACTTCTCTGAGCCTCCACTATAAAATGCAGGTAATAGGCCTGGCCCAGTGGCTCATGCCTGTAATCCCAGCACTTTGTGAGGCGGAGAAGGGTGGATCACTTGGGGTCAGGAGTTCGAGACCAGCCTGGCCAACATGGTGAAACCCTATCTCTACTAAAAATACAAAAATTAGTCAGGTGTGGGGAGGAGGCGCCTATAATCCCAGCTACTTGGGAGGCTGAGGTGGGAGAATTGAACCCAGGAAGTGGAGCAGTGAAAAGAGTAGGGAGCAGAGATCATGCCACTGCAGTCCAACCTGGGTAACAGAGCGAGACTCTGTCTCAAAAAACAAGCAGACAAAACACAAAATGCAGAGAATGGGAGGAACATACATCACGGGGTTTAGGGTGAATTGAATGAGATAATATGTGTGAAGTTCACAGCACAGTGTCAGACACGTTAAGTGCTTAGCACATTGTAGCTGTTATTATCATGATAATTTGATTACAAACTGTGAGGTTATGCGCTGTGCTGCCTATTGATGTATTTATTGTTTCTCAGCTCCACTAATTCATTTTTAAATGTCTGCTCCTCCACAATAGCCTGGACTTTTACAGCATTTCTGATTTACGCTGATCACAGAGCTGAGCTTTCCCAGTAGGGGGGGTGAAGAAACATCGCAGGAGGAAGAAGCTTCTCTTACTGGTTCCAGCTGCAGCACCACTGGTCAGCGCTGAGGTTGTGAGATGTCCTGGGTCAGGTAATGGGATTCTTACCTGGTCCTTTGGGACCAGGGTAAGTTTTCCTACTCTGGCCGCAGGGAGAGTACAATTCTTCCCAAGCTGATCTTAGGTGATGGTGCCCCTAGTGGTGAGCCTTCCAACTGCAGCAGGGAGCATAAAGCTCCGGATTCTGAACCCAGGCAATCCCTGGTCCCATGGGATTTATGGCTCCCATGTCACCTGCTCAGTGGAGCCTCCCTCAACCACTCTGTTTCATAATAAAATCCCCCCCCATCTCCTCTGCCTACTTCATTTTCCTCCAGAACTTTTCAACATACTCTATTTATCATTTGCTTATTTGTCGTCTGCCTCTCTAGCTCCACGAGGGCAAGGCTTTTTGCCTGTCTTGTTCACTTAGAAGTACCTAGCACAGTCACCTGGCACACAGTAGGTGCCCAATAAATATCTGTTGACCTGAGTTGCATGCAGGTCAACCATGCCCTCCTGCCCGTTGCTACTGCACCAAATACCATGGAGTCTTTTATCTTGGAGGAAAAGCTCCAGGTCTTCAAGGAGCAGCACAGGTCAACTTCCCAGGCTTCATGCTTGGCAGGAAAAGGAAAAATGTGCGTTTTGAAAAATGATTCCCTAGAGTGAGGCTCAGGCACCCTACCACCTTTCTAAAGTACGCCAGTTAACTCAGGGGTGAAGCCAAGGAGAGGAACTAATGGATCAATCACTTTGGCCCTCAGGTCAGAATCCTGGCTGCCACTCACTTGTTAAATGAACTGTGACGAAACCCCCTGTGGGCTTGGCTTTGTCAATCAATGACCTGAGGATCGTAGGGTTAGGGTGGGGTGGAAGGAGGGTCAATAAGATCACGCAAGCAAAGCCCAAAGCCCTCAGCGCAGTGCCTGGCACAGAGTAGGTCCACAATATATGATTATTTTTGCTCCCAAGCAACCATTTCCCATTCTCCTGGGGGACTTGCTGGAGACTGTGGGGCAGGGGTTTGTGATTGAGACCCCTCTCCCCAAGCCAAGGGGCAGACTTGGGTCCCAGGTCAGGACAATCAGGCACTCCCTCTCTGGGATGAAAACCTTAAACAAATGGCATTCTCTTTACCAGAGCAGCAGCACCCTAACCACACTCTCCTTGCCAAGCAAATATTCCCAATTGTTCCCCTTTCTGGCCTTCCCCAGCCAGCTTGATTCCATCCCATTTCCCAGTGCTCCAGGCTCCTATGAGCTCTGGGATCACACATCATCTTTCCAGTTTATTTCCTTTTGCCTGAGGAAGCCGAAGTCAGCTTCTGGGGCTTATGGCCTGAGACCCCTGACACTGACTAATGGAAAATAGGGGGCTCTGGATCCACAGCTGCAGGGAGTGGGCGTTCTAAGCTGTCCCCTAGTCCTGCAGAAGGAAGGCCTGAATACTGGGGGACCCTAAAAGGCATTGCAAATCCTTAACGTGACCATCAAAGCCATACAGGATCTTGGCCCTACACCTCTCTGAGTTCTAGTGATTCTCTGCCTCAGTAGCTGGGATTACAGGAACTCATTATCATTCCTGGCTAATTTTTGTATTTTTTGTAGAGACAGGGTTTCACCATCTTGGCCAGGCTGGTCTCGAACTCCTGACCTCAGGTGATCCACCCACCTTGGCTTCCCAAAGTACTAAGATTACAGGCGTGAACCACAACGCCTGGCGTAATTTTCGTATTTTCTAGTTAAGACGGGGTTTCACCATGTTGGCCAGGCTGGTCTCAAACTGCTGACCTCGTGATCCGCCCGCCTCGGCCTCCCAAAGTGCTGGGATTACAGGCGTGAGCCACCGCGCCCGGCCTATACCCATTTTAAAGATGAGAAAACTGAGGCTTGGAGAATGTCGGTAGTAGCCCCACCAACTCTATCACTTCCTGGAACCAGGCCCACAGAGGAGGGTTCATGAAGAGCGCTTTCCTTTCCCGCCCCAGGGAAGCGGGAGGGACACGGGCGCTGGCGTGGAGGGTGGGGGGAGCATGAAAGGCCAGGGAGCTAGGTGCGCGGAAGCGAGCGTGCGCGCTTGGCGCGGAGGCTCCTGGCGCAGGCGACCAGCCTGCCCAGCCACGCGGTGGCTTTCCGGAGGGGTGGGGCGGCCGCGGCGGGTCCTGACGTCGGGCGCCCTCCGGCCGTCAATCAGCGCTCGGCCCCGCCCCGCCGTCGCTGCAGCAGCAGCGCCGAGGCCGGAGGAGCAGCCGCCGCCCCCACCTCCCGGGACTCGGAACTCAGCTGCTCGGAGCCATGGCCTCGGCCACCGCGGGTAAGGGGCTGCGGGACGCGGGGGCGGCGGGAGGGCAGCCCATGGCCCCCGCGCCCACCCCTCGGCTGACCTGCGGCTCTCGCGTCTTGTCCTACAGAGGCGGAGACCCGGCAGAGGCTGCTACGCACCGTCAAGAAGGAGGTGGGTGCCAGGTTGGGGCGCAGGGCAGGACCCCCCCCCCGGGCAGGGGGCAGCAGCAGCCAAGTTGGGGGAGGGGGAGAGTCTCCGTGGAAGGGTGGCCTCTGGCGGTGGAAGGGCGGCCAAACCTGGTGTGGGGCTCACCTGGGTGGGCATTGACCTCCCGCGGGGCTGGAGGAGCAGCAAGGGAGTTTGGGGGTGGGCGTAGGTATGGAGGGGGCTTTGGCTGTTTTGGGGCTGTGTCTGGGGGCGGATGCAGCGTGAGGGCCCTCAAGTGTCCCAGTAGGACCTCCTCTTGTGAAGGAGCAGGTGGGTGCGGCTGAGGGAGGGGACCTTCCAAGAGAGACAAGCTGCTGGGGGAACCCCCCCACAGGGTCTCCTGGGGGAGGGGCTCAGAATGGGGCTGCCAAAGGTGGGGTATGCCCCAGGAAAAGGGAGAGGTTCGATTTGGGAAAATAAAGCTTTCCTCCAGCCTCCAAATTCTCAGTCCTTGGAGCCACCTCCAGGAGCCAGGAGACTCCCTCCCTGAGAGTCCCGGGTGAGTGAGCTGCTCCCTTGGCAGTAGGGGTCCCCTCACCCCCACCCCTCACACTCAGAGGGTGAGAATCAGAGAGGTTCTTCTGCCCCTCCACTCTCCCTGGGGTCAGCGGGGAGCCCAGTCTAGTCTTTAGGGCTAATGGCCGATGACCTCCCAAAACCCCATAGACAGGGAGAATTTATAGTCCTTGGGGCCTGGGGTGGCATTTTGTCACCTGGACTGTGTGCTCTGGTGTGTATGCCTGCGTGGGTGAGGACCTGTGGCTGTGAGTGTGGCATATCAGAATGTGCGTCTGTCCGGAGATATCTAAGTGTATCTCTTTGCACTGTGTGTACACATATCTATGTGTGTCTGTGTAGACCTGTTTTTGTGAGGGTGCGTCTGTGTGTGTGTATTGTGTGATGCGTCTGTGTGAATAAGTGATTCTGTGACTGTGCGTGTGTATCTTGAGTGGGTGTGTGGCATGTGATGCGTGAGTCTGTGAATAATGAGGGCTGTGACTCCGTGTGTGTGTTGCCCTCCCCATTCTCCAGCCTCAGGCCCCATGGCCGCTGTGTCTTCATCACTTTTGAACCTTATGAGTGCTTAGCCCGAGACCTTGCATGGCAGCAGACCTTGTGGTTTCAGGGCCTGGCTTTGAGTGTCTCTGTGTGTGTGTGTGTGTGTGTGTGTGTGTGTGTGTATGTTGGGGTGTCAGCTGAGGTGGCAGCATTATGCAGCACTGATGACCCCTCCTTCCCTGCACAGTGGCAGGCAGCCACCAAGGGCAGCCTGGAGGCTTGGACCTGTTGCTGCCCCTCCCTCCTCGGGGAGCATGAGGATGTGTCTGTGTGTGTGTGTTTCTGTGTGTGGCATGTCCTATTTTGTTTAAAGAATCAGCTCCAGGGATGGTTGCACGTTCTAGCATTTTCGAATGAGACGCGCAAAATACACTGGATCCCTCAGAAAGGCCCGCAAGTTTTCAGCTGAGCCCCTGTATAGACCCCTATGGGTACTCCCAAGGGAGCTCTGTCTAGACCCTCTTTTCAACAGGACTCACAGACCCAACAACATTCTCATCACTATTTTCAGGGGAGGGGCATGTACAAAACACCTGCTGTCTTTTTGTTCATGGTTTAACCAGACCCACGTGTAATATGTTCGCCTAAGATGTTTTTGCCTGGAGTAGCTTTGTTTTTATTTATTTTATTATTTTTTTAAAAATCTCTTTCCTGAAAAGAGATCACATCATAGCTAGCTTTGTTTTTAAGGCAATGGTTGGTTGAATTGGGTTGGAGGGGGTGCAGGCAGGAGAGAGCACCAGTAAACATCTGTCTGGAGAAGGCTGTAGCTGCGGCCCGGGTCCCGCTCAGCTTCCAGCTTTCCTGCACGGGTCCCTTCTCCTCTCCAGGACAGTTTCTTGATCGGCAGAAGGATGCATTGATACCAATGTCCTTTGAGGTCTGATCTGTGTCAGTCTAGTTTGGGTCTTGGGCTTAGAAAGAGTGGATAACTTGCCCAAGATCATCCAGCCAAGATGGGACAGAGCTGGGACTTACCCCCCCCCCCAGGTCTTTTTGATGTTACAGCCACGCTCTGACTCTCCCATCCCACAAATGTGCTCATCCAAATGCACACGGTGCCACACCTCGGACAGAATGTGTAGGTGGTACAGTTTCCATTGAACAGATGAGAACACTGTAGCCTAGAGACAATAAGTGATGTTTCTTTTATTTATTTATTTATTTCCTTTGAGACAGAATCTGTCTCTGTCACCAGGCTGGAGTGCAGTGGCACAATCTCTGCTCACTGCAACCTCCACCTCCCAGGTTCAAGTGAGTCTCCTGCGTCAGTCTCCCAAGTAGCTGGGACTACAGGTGCCCACCACCACTCCCAACCAATTTTTGTATTTTTTGTAGAGACAGGGTTTTACCATGTTGGCCAGGCTGGTCTTGATCTTCTGACCTCATGATCCACCTGCCTCAGCCTCCCAAAGTGCTGAGATTACAGACATGAGCCACCGCGCCTGATCAATAAGTGATTATTTCAAGGGCACAGAACCAGTGCAGGGGGCAGGCTCTAGTCTTCTGTCTTGGAGCTCCTATTCAGCATAGGTACCCTAAGAAGATGGCAGCCACTCTGTGCCCCACCCAAAGCATGTCTCTCCTGTCCTTTCCTTTCATTGCTTACCTCTTTGTGGGGGCACTCTCTCGGTGTCAGAGAGCCAGTCTCCAGTGGAATAGAAGGGAAGTCTCTTTGCCTAGAAATCTGAGAGTCAAGTCAGGTCTTCCTCCTCCTGGGTTCGGAGGAGCCACATCTCTACCTGTCACGGCCTCACCCAGACACTGCATTGTGTGTACACATATCTATGTGTGTCTGTGTGTATATCTGTTTTTTGTGTGTTTATCTGTTTTCCCAGCCTTCCTTCTAGAAGGGGTGCCCTAACAATCAACATCTCTAGATAGGCTGGGCAGCTCTGCAAGCTTTGCTAAAGCTATTGCAGCCACCAAGGGGCCAGCAGAGGTTGGAAGCTGGAAGCTGTCCAGTGCTGACCTGGGGAGCCAGTAGGACCCAGCACCCATGAGGCAGGTCAAGAAGGAACTTTGGGATCAACTAGAGCTGAATTCCAATCCCAGATGCATATTTACTGAGGGCTGTGTGTCAGACCCTGGGCTAGGTTCTGTGGATATAGCAGGGACAGGCTCCCTTGTAAACAGGCCACATCCCTGTCCTTCTGGGGCTGACCTGGCAGTGGTAGAAACAGACCCCCAACAGATACTTGATCATAATTACAAGGATAATTACCGGCTGTGCACAGAAATGTGAAGGAGAGGCACCCAGGGCTGCGAGAACACAAAACGGAGAACTGACCATGTGCAGGGGCCCCTGACGTGTCGCTTCAGAAGACAGGGGAAAGATAAGTACAAGTTTCAGGTGAAGGTAGGGGGTTGGGAGAGACTAGGGAAAACCATTCCTAGCAGAGGGATTTATACATGCAGAAGCTTTGTGGTTGGAGGGAGCACTGTGAACTTGAAGGAGCACTGTGAACTTAAAGGAACTGAAGTGACTGGAGCAGAGAGAAAGGAGAAAGGTGGAGAGGCGGAGAGGCAGAGAAGGCAGAGCTTGTGGTCTTATCCCAAAAGCAGGGGGAAAGGAATGGGGAGGACACGGTGAACAGGGAGAGAAGGTGAGGGAGGTGAAATTGATGGCCTGTTCACTGCACAATCTTGGACAAGATCTGTCTTCACTTTTATCAGTGTGTGGGTTTTGGTTCATTCATATGGGGATGAAAATGATTCAGCTGGCAGGATAAACCCTTCGAGAACACCCACCACATTAGCCTGAACTCCTCCAGGGCACGCGTTCTTCTCCCCAACCCCCTGGCTCTGTCCTCGGTGCCACCAAGAGAAAGCTGGAAATAAGGTGGCCTCAGCTGCAAACAAGGTGGCCTCAGAGTGTTTTCCTCCAGTTAAATCTCACCAGCTCTATCTTGGCTCCTTCCTGGCTTGCTTTACCCTCCCTGCCACCCCTTAATTTTGTTTTGGTTCCCGGAGCCAGCAAGGACTGGCTTCTCGTTGCCGTGACAACCGCCATTAAGGGAGCCAGCCATGTGATGCCAGTTGATAATGCAAGTAAAGTGACTAACTGCCTTGTTTTTCTGCCTCTGGGCTGGGCCTAGACAGCCTCTTAATTGGAGGAGAGAATGCAGGGCTGGTAGGAGGCAGATGAGACCCCAGGAAGGAGACAGGGAGATGAAGCATGTCCTGGAGGGGAAGCTACATTTAGCTCCGCAGACTGGAACTGGTGGAAGGGCTGTAATTGTGGAGCCATCGTCACAGCTGCTGAGCAGAGCATGTTTGGAAAACTGAGCCTCCCAGCCTCTGGGTTAGGGGCAATGAGATGGGAGAGGAAGGCAGGACTTGCTAAGAAGGTTGGAGAAAAATGAGAGAAGCGATTGCTGTTACCATGGGGACCCTGCCATTTGACCCTGTGGTTCTTAATGAAGGGGAGCAATTTTGTCTCCCGTCCCTAGGGTGGCCAGATAATATCCAGGTCGCCCAGTTAAATTTGACTTTCAGATAAACAGTGAGTAAGTTTTTGGTATGACTATGTATTGCTAAATCTGGCAGCCCTACTCCAGGGGACATTTGGCAATGTCTGGAAATATTTTTGGTTGTCACAGTTGGGGGTGCTACCGGCATCTAGTGGGAAGAGGCCAGGGATGCGGCTCACGTTCCTGCAATACACAAGACACCCCCTCAGCCCACCACCAGTAGCAGCACAAAGAAGTGGCCAGCCCAGAATGGCAATGCTGTTAAGGCAGGGAAATCTTCTCCCCCGACCCTGCCCATCCTGCACCCACCTTGCCCTTCACTTCTCTAGGCTGGGCTGATATGAATGTCATATTATTTTTATTTATCTTTTTGAGACGGAGTCTCCCTCTGTCGCCAGACTAGAGTACAGTGGCACAATCTTGGCTCACTGC